CTGTGGGGATGGGATGGGGAGGCACCGTCAGCCCCAGCCCTTGGCCTCCTGCTGCTCCTCGCAGGCTTTGTCTGCATGAAAAACAGAGAATCAGGGATGGTTTGGGTTGGAAGGGACCCCCAAGCCCACCCAGTGACCGCCAGTGCCACCATGGGAAGGGACACCTCCCACCATTCCAGGCTGCTCCAAGCCCCATCCAACCTGTCCTTCAACACCCCCAGGGATGGGGCAGCCACAGCTTCCCTGGGCAACCTGGGCCAGGCTCTCCCCACCCTCACAGCACAGAATTTCTCCCTCCCATCTCAGCTCCAGCTCCCTCTGCCAGCTGGAAACCCTTCCCCCTACTCCCATCCCTCCCTGCCCTTGTCCCAAGCCCCTCCCCAGCTTTCCTGGAGCCCCTTCAGGCACTGGAAGCTGCTCTCAGGTCTCCCTGGAGCCTTCTCTTCTCCAGGCTCAACACCCCAACTCTCCCAGCCTGGCTGCTCCAGCCCTCCCAGCATCTCTCCAAGATTCCTGCTCCTGCTGGGGACTCGCTGCTCTCACAGCTGGTGCCTGATGAGGGGGTGTCTGGTGTCACCCCGAGGAACGTGCCTCTGCGTGGGTCCATCAGGAAACTCCCCTGTGCCCCTAAAACCCTGCTGCTGTATCTGTTTTATTCCCTGTGATTATGATGACCAACATCTATATGAAGGAAACCCTTTGCCTAGGTGCAGTTGAAATTAAGTGGGTTGTCATTCCAGGTCTAATAAACATAAACTAAGCACAAGATCTTACTCGACAAAGTCAGTTCACAAGCAAACATCAGCATTATTAAAGCATGTTGGCAAAAAACAAACAAAACAAACACAAAAATATCTAGAGTTTGAGACATTATCAGATCCCAGGCCTTCTAAAATACTTTAAATGTTGGAATGCTCTGAAGACACTGGCTGGGGCACGGGGTTACCTAAAGAAAACCCAAGTGCTTTTTCTTCTGGTTATGGTGCTGTTGAGCAGAAAATGACCCCTTGCATGTGTTTTGATACCAATTCAGTAAGTGACCTCACCTCCCAGCTGCCTGTTAAAATATCACTAATATTTCATACCTCTTTGAGTGCTGCTTGGGAATCCCTGGGTGAAAGAGACTTTTTACTATTTTTTTTTTTAATTTATTTTTTTTTCTGGAAGTACCTGTTGCCTGTTTATTCTCTATAAAATATTTGCAAGCTGTCAGTACATGAGAAGACATATTTTATTTATGTTGAAAGCATTAGCAGGCTTTTTTCTATGAGGTGTTCTGATTTTAACTGCCTTTTTTTATTTGCTTGTTTTAAAGCCCCCTATAATGACATGGTTAGAGCTGCATCTGTGAAGGAGCTTGGGTCAGTCTCTGTAGCCTGATGCCTGCCTGGTAAATGGAAAGGATTTCTGCCTTAGCAGCTGAGGAGAAGTTTTTTCAGTGTGGATAGATGGATTTATTTATTCATTTTTTTAAAAAACCCATATTTACTGGTGACATGCATAGGGGATTAAACCTGGAATTTCAGCAGCTGAAAGATAAGTGTACCTCCTAAGCCAAAGGTCTGGCTGGTTTATGTGTAGAAAATACAGTTTATTCAGGATCTGTTTGGCATTGGTACATTCTTTTTCTCTTGACTGTGAAGGCCTGTGCCTTGTTGATTTATAATCCAACTTTACCTGGTCTTGTGGCAGGTGCTTTCCAGTGGGAGCAATTAGAAGAGGATATAAGAGAGAAGTTGAAGGATCCGGAAAAAACTGAACATGTGCTGGAGAAAGTTCAATGTATCCTGAAAACTCCAGGGAAGGTACATCCAGCTCCCTTGGGATAGGTGTCAGTTACTGGAGTCCTTGGGACAGGATAATTTGTCTTATATTATTATGTTAACAGAAAGTTATTACATAGAATCAGTTATATTAGGAAGAGCTTATAAATTCCCTGATGCTACAGAACTTGCAAAAAGTGTTTCTGTCAATTTAAACGGGAAATAATCTTGAACTGTCTTGATTTAACACAGTATAAAAATCAGAATGCTTCTTAGCTGTTTTAAGCTTGTGATTGCTCAGCTGTGGGCTTGCCACCCCCAGTTGTCCAGAGCTAAAACATTCTCAGGGCTGGAAGTCCTGAAGGCTTTTAAGAGAAGAAGCCTGAGTCGTTGTTGATTTTTAAGGGTGGAGGGGGAGGTTTATGCCTTCAAGGTACCAGATTTCAAATTTTTCCCTCAAAGGCAAAATAAAGATTTGTGATTTTTTTTTTTCCTAGATAGAATAAGAAACAAACCCACACAACCAACATTTAACTAGATTAGATTTTAACAATTAATTTTAACCTCATCTGAATGTCATGTGTCACAATCTAGAGTGTGATTTTGATGTTACTCCTTTCGGTAGCTTTAGATTCCACTTTTAAAGAAAAACAAAACTGAAAAGCTAACTGGGAGTGCAGGGTGCTGGAGGGTCTTGACAGTAGCCTGCCCAGATTATCCTCAGAGAAGTCTGTGCTCAGACCTGAGGGCTCCTTCTGCCTCTGTGGGGGCAATATCAGGGCAATACCCAGGAACACAGAGCTTTTGGGTGTCTCGCTTCGTGGCATCGCGCTGGGGAGGTGGACGCATGTCCCGTCAGTGCTCCCCTTCACAGCCCTCAGAGCTTGGAACCATTGAATTGTTCAGGTTGGAAAAGACCTCCAAGACCATCAGATCCAACCATTAATCCAACTAGACCGGGTCCACTGCTAAGTCATGTCCCTAGCTTGTCTCCCAGCACGGCAGGTGTGAAGGTGTTAGGAGTCCAGAAAACTTGGGATGTGGTCAGAGGTGACCCAGTCTATGACCTGGGTGGGGGAAGTCACAGGGTGAGTCAGAGTGTGGGAGAGAGGGACCCTTGGGAGCTGCTGGTCTGTGGGGAACAGGGAGGTAAGTGCTGAAGGTCGTTGCAGAGGGTGGCACACATGGGAAAAGTGGCTGGGTGGCTTTAGGAGGACAGTGTGAAGCGGGGAGCAAAAGGCCGTTTAAGTTTAGTTTCCCATATAAACGGTGTCTTGTAATCTTTTATGCCTGTGGCCCTGTTTTGTTAATGATTTGTTTTGCAGCTGAGCACTGTGAAGGACTGCAGGTCTCACCAGGTGAAACAGCTGTACAGTACTCCTCTCAGGCTGTTCTTTAACACGCCTGTCCTAGCTGATGTCATCTTCAAAATACAAGGTATAGTCCCTCAGTGCCCACTGACATGGGCTCTATGTTCATCCTCCTTGCAGGAGCTGGGAGCTGGAGTGGACTCTTGTTTTCTGTTGTGTCACAATTAAGAAAAGGCATGAACTTTGCTCTCATCCTAGAAGGCAGTTGTTTGTTTTCTTGCCTGGAAGTGACACATGTCCCTAGGGATGCTGCACACAGTGCCCACCCCCGGCGTAGTTGGTCCCCATAACCATCTGTTAGGCCTTGTGTCTCTCTGTTTCCACACACCCCTAGGAGGCTCAGCAGAATGAGGGCTGTGCTGCAGGAGAGGCTCCTGCAGCAGCACCATCACAGGGCAGTGATTTTACCTTAAAACTTTTACTTATCTTGCTCCTGTTCCCACCCGCACACGCGCGGGACGTGAGCGAGCGTCACAGCTCAGTGAGGACTTGTGAGGACTTTCTCTGCTTGCCCTGAGTGAAAGGAGCAGAGATGCTGGTCATCAATTCCTGACCCCCTTCCCTTCTTCCATCCCAGCTGGGATGTGCCTTTTCCTGCCCTCCAGAAGCTGGCAGGGATTTATGTCCCACTCCCATCTCTCCCAAGTCTTCATTCACTGCCCTCCTCCCCGGCAAGGCCTCCCCAGAAGAGCACGTGGACATGCTGGGGTTTTGATGGCTAACTGAGGTGCCATCAGCACCTGCTGTATTTTATCAGGCTAATTATCTAGTCATCTCTGTGGTCAGGATTAAAAACTGTGAAGTTACACAGATTCCCTCATAAAGGTGCCACAGGCATTTTTTCCATGCTGGAAAAACCGTTTTGTTCCCATTTTGGATGCACCAATAGATTACAGTGTGATTATTTTTCTTTCCTGGAAATTCAATGCAGGAAAATGAAATACAGGGGGAAAAACAAAAAATTAAATACATAAATTAAATGGGGAAGAGGGAAGTGTCACATGCTTTTGTGAGCATAAGGATGAGATGGTTTTTAAATGCTCATGGTTTTCTCAATTTGTCCACCCTTCGTGTAGAAATGGTCCTTGAGAATTAGGCAGTTGTTTAATTATTTTCAGCTTTAAATCCCAGAGCCAGATATGAAGCCTGACTCCCTCAAACATAAGCAAACGAGAGCAAGCAGATTCATTCTAAGTGTCCTGTTTAATATGCAGAAAATCCAAAAAAGAAGGTATTTAAAAATGGGAACGAAATACGGACGCTGAGTTTAGTGACAGGAACAATTCATCTCAGTGTCCAGCTCTTGAGAGGGGCTTTGTGGGAAGAGGATGAAACCATGCCACCATTATATATTTTACAGAAAAAAAAAATTACTACCAAATGGGTTTACAAGTGTTTTTTAAAGTCCTATTATACACTACTAAAATGTGAACTGTTTTTTTCTAATGTTTGGTAAATCTTCCAAGCCTTTTTTCCCTAGTTCATCAGCCACAGTAATTATATCAAAATTAAATAATTACTAAGAGAAGGTGAAGGGTTTAGTCTGGATCAGGTAAATATGTTTTTTTTAAGTCTTCCACTAATTCCTTGAATATTGGGAGTTGCCTTGAGATTTCTAACTTGAAAAAGTACTTGAGCCATTGAAAGTGGGACCTGTTATTCCTGTGTAATGACTCATAATGTGGCTGAATCCCCTAATAAATAGGTAAATATCCTGTCGCATGCACGTACAGAACTGCATGCCTGTCTGACATCATGTCTGCATCAAGTATTGCTCATTACCTGTGTAAGTATAAAAAGTTATATTTGATTTATCAGCATTATTTTCCTTAAGATAGGAAATTCACTCAGGCAAAATGCTTGATCTGGTTAAATTCGTACTTAGGTAACGGTTTCAATGAAATTTTATCTGCAATAATTTGCTTTTCTCTGCTTTGTGTGATTATGTGGAAGTTTCTGCAATGCAAATTGGTTATCACTGGGACTGCTGATGAGCACGGATCACTTATTTTCATCATAATTCACAGCACTTTGTATTTATGCAATGGCCCAGAGGCTCAGTTAGCATAAACTGGTGTAGCTGTCAGGTTTTGTGGTAGCTGGGGGACTGTTTTGACTGACAGAAGCCTGCCCTGTTTGGAGCACCTGGTGGAGGGGGACAGGCTGTCACAATAAGTGTGGCATTTATTTTGGTTTGCTGGTTGGTCCTGGGCAGATGTGAACATCTTGGTTGGTATCCAGTGAGTGTGCCAGTCACCCCCAGGTGGCTGCTGTTAATTTTAAACCCACTGAAATGGCTTTAAATCATGTTCTGCAAAATGAAGGCCTTCTAAGGGAAGATGAGCTGTAAAACCAAGAGATTACAGTGTATTTGAAGTGACCATGGACCTTTGTCTTGCATCCTGCAGGTGCCACTGTACCAGCCCACAGAGCAGTTCTGGTAGCTCGCTGTGAGGTAATGGCAGCTATGTTTAATGGTAATTATCTAGAAGCAAATAGTGTTCTGGTTCCAGTCTATGGGGTTTCCAAAGACACTTTCCTCTCCTTTCTAGAGTATCTTTATACCGACTCCTGCTGCCCAGGTAAGAACATTTTAAAATATATTTATTTTCCCATGGTGGGGCTTTGATAGGGAACAATGTAGCAGCATTTATTTCATTGAAAAATGCCAATATTTTCATGAATGATGTCTCCAGAAATAGAACTTGATCATAGCATGCAATAAAAAAACCCAAATCAATCTTAACTCAAGTAAAATCAACTGGAGGCATAACATACATCACTGTTGTGTGCTTACACAGCAAGACTCAAAAACCTGTAGTTTAATTTCTGGTCCATGACAACATTTAGGATTTTATTTTTACATCAAGATAATACTGCTTTCTAATCTTACCTCTGGGTTCAGTTTCCAAATTGTTACTTTGTTAAGAATATCTTTTGTTAAGTTTAATAAACAAGGCTGAATTGCAGGAATACAATATTTATACACGTGGATGTCTTATTTATGTAAAACCAGGAAAAAAATATATCCAAACTGAGTGTTTTGAAAGAAAAATTGAGCTGAAGAATTCTTTGTCTTAACCTTTGTCTTTTTAAATAAGAAATCTATGTACTAAATGATAAGTATTATTTCAATACAGAGAATTTTCCTGTTATTGATTGAATGAATTAATGGATGGATGAGTGAATTAATGAATTAATTAATTAATGAATAAGATGGTGTTATATGCCTTTTTGCTTTTTTATTTTATTTTAAAATAATTCCACCTTCTTAGGTTTCCTGTATGTTATTCTTTTCAGTCTGTCCATCATTTCATTGTCCACCAGTTTAAATATCAAAGAACCATGGGATGGTTTGGGTTGGAAGGGACCTGAAAGATCATCTAGGTCCAAACCCCCTGCATGGGCAGGGATGCAATCATTGTATCATATTTTTTTTAGAAAATAAACATGGTTGCTCCCTCTTCTCTTTGGTCTTTTCGTTATGTTTTCTCCAGATTATCACAAAGTTACTTTTTTGAAAGAGAAGTTAGAAAACTAAATCCTTGATCATCACTCCTTAATCATCTCTGTAGTCATCACTTTAAGTAGACCAGCAACACTAGGAGAAAGGATATTTACTACAATTTCTGACACTTGCCTTCCAAAAAGTGCTGACTGCTCTTTTCCTGTTAATTACATCATTTATCAGGAAAAAAAAAATGAGGGTGATGTAGCAAACCTGTAGTGATAATAATGGAAATTAAAAGGAGGTGATGGACAGTGGCTGGGCTTGGTGCTCACTGTTAGCTGTTTAAAAGCTGACTCTGTGACAAGCACCTTTGGTCAAAAGCAGGAAACCAGCTGCAACTTCTTGCTCTCTCCTTGCTTCCAGCCAGCATTCTCCAAGCCATGTCCCTCCTGATCTGCGCAGAGATGTACCAGGTGTTGAGGCTGCAGCACATCTGTGAGCTTTACATCATCACCCAGCTCCAGAGCATGCCCAGCAGGGAGCTGGCATCCACAAGCCTCAGCGTCGTTAGCTTGCTCAAAAAAGCTAAGGTGTGTGGGGTGTTCACCAGATAGGAAACTCCTGTGCTGAGCCTAAAGAGTGGGGGTTTCTTTCTATTAAAAAAGGGATTTCTAAGGTTTTTCAGTTTGTAGTAAAATCCTGTTCCCAAGGACAAGCAGGGATCTACAATCTGTGGATTAGGGATATTTGGTTGCAAAAGGCTGGCTGAAACCATCCTTTTGTTGCCCAGTGTGTGGCTATACCAAAATCTGGGCAGTTTCCTGCATCCAGGGCACGTTGCAGTGATTCAGCTGAATTGCAAGGTCTACCAGGAAATAGGTGTCTGGGGCAAGTGAAGCTGCACCACTTCCTCTTTTAGTCAAAAAGAAAACAGTCTGACACACAAGTGGCAAAGGAGATCTAACCTGATAGGATATTGAGGGGGGATAAAACCAGGAAAAGCATGAAAAGAAAGTTTTAGGAGCTGAAAAAAAAAAAAAAAGAGAGAGAGAGAAAGAGCCAGGGAAAACAAAAGAGGAAAATAAAACCTGTTTACAAGTCTCAGGCAGGATATTGTCTCACACGAACAGGGTTTTGTGGAGAAAGGAGAGGCACCAAAACCAACACACCTTCCTTTTCCTGAAGCTCTGCTGCTGTTCAGAGGAAAAAAAACCTGCCCTGGGAGCCCTTGGGATGAGGTCCCACCCTGGCGAGGGGTTGTTGGTCTGGGGTCTCCATCTGTGGATGTGTTTCCAGCAGTGACTTGTCCTCCTTTATCTCCTTCAGTCAGAACAAGATTCAGTGACCTGTGTTTTAACACGGCAGGGTGAAGTGCTGTTTGTTTCCTTTCCTCCTGCAGTTCCACAATTCTGATTGCCTCTCCACTTGGCTTCTTCATTTTATTGCCACCAACTACCTCATCTTCAGTCAAAAACCCGAGTTTCAGGATCTTTCAGGTAATCTATCATTTTGTTTCAGAAGGAGAAGTGCTTTTTGGTGCTGCTCAGTACAGAAGTGAGATGCTGGACAACTCTACTTCACAGAACCATAGAATCATGGAATGGTTTGGGCTAGAAGGGACCTTAAAGGTCATCTAGACCCAACTCCAAACCATTCTCTGGTTCTGTTTTGTTCAGTAACTTATCTATTGCTAACTTCATGGCAAGGGAACTTTGACATCTGCGTGACGGTGAGACCGAGGCAAAAGGGACAGCACTCACCCCTGCTTCCCTAGTTGTATTTGTGTCCCCAACATTTTCTCAGCCTCTTGTTAGAAGACTTCCTGCAGCCAGGCTGCTCCACCTAACCCCTCTGTTGCTTCCTTCAGCGGAGGAGCGCAGTTTCGTGGAGATGCACAGGTGGCCTTCCAGCTTGTACCTGAAGCAGCTGGCTGAGTACCGGAGCTACATCCACTCCCAGAAGCGTCACTGCACAGTCATGTGAGAGGGCTGGACACTGGGAAACTGCTTCTGGGCTGGGAAGGCTCAGACTGGGAGTTACACTGAGCAGAAAACCCTTGTCAGGAGAAAAAAACAAACCCAAAACCAGTGTCCCCTGGCGCTCTGTGTGCCGTGCTGTACTGCACTTGGAGCACCATTTGCTTTGGTAATAAACCACTCTGCTTTTTTGCCTTTCCTCCCTTGAACCGTTGATAAACGTGCCAGGAAGGTTTATTTCAAGCACCAGGGTTTCACACCCATGGGGATCAAATGTAGTATCAGTGTCATGACTGTGCTCTTCTAATGCCTTTATTCATGGTAATTTTGGCTGCTAAATCAGCATCTGTTGAAAGCAGATTTATTTATTTTTTGCAAGTCTGTGCACCACAGGAGCACAGTAGCAGTGCAGGGAAACTGAGAAGCCAACTCGTAAGTTCTCTGAATGTTCCAGAAATTTACTGGAGCATCTGTTGGTTTGAAGAATAAAGCTTGGGCTTAAGAAGCATTTCAGGTACTACTCATTTTCTACTTCAGGTTAAGCCTGTAGTTTGTTTTACTGAGACTCTTGAAGGTATTTCAATTCCAGAGGCATGCCTATGCATCACTGTACCCTCAAGTGCCTCCCAAAAAACCCAGAAGCAGAAATACTTTTTCCTCCCAGAAAACAGGAGGAGAAAGTCTGTTTTAATAATCTGCAGATTATTAGTTTAAATTAAATTACCACCATGTGCTCATAAGGCAAACATTAATGTATTTTCTGGCTACTTGGATTCTTTTCTCAGAGATAACAGATAAATCCTAACTATTATGACTAGGGTGACCCTGGTAGATGCTATTTTGAGCTTCCTTGACCTAAGTCATTCATCTCTTCTGCCATGAACTTCTGTGTGTTTTGTGATATTAATGGCAAAATGAACCCAGCCTTTACAGGAGGTTCTAAGTGGAGACACTTCTCTGCAAGTGAAATCTCATCAAGGAATCAAACCCCTTGTTATCAGTCCTGTTCTACTTTTGCTTTGCCCCCTGCCTTTAAGCTTGGTGTTCAGCCTCAGCCTAGAAAGACAGAGAAAAGACAGTGAAAAAAATAATTTAGGTCTTTCTTCAGCATCTCAAAAGTACTTGGAGGCTGCAGCTGTGAGAAGGAGGAAAAGCAAAATGCTGGAGATCAATCTCCTTTTGTTTTTTTTGCTTATAAGAAATGTTTTATATTTCCATATGGCCTTTTAGGTCAATTGTTCTGTTCAAATTCCACTCTAGACTAATAGGGACTTCTTCTTTCTTTTCTTTTTTTTTTTTCTGTTTTTTCTTTTTTTTCTAATGATCTTTTCAAAGGTTGAGGGGATATTTCCTATTTTTGGACAAAAAAACCAAGGAGAGCTCATGACTCAGCAGGCTCAAACCTCTGAGGTTGGTCTTGTGTAAGGATGATGAAGCATTTTTTTATTTTTCACTTTTCATCTGGGGATCCTGAAGTTCTTTAAAAGAGTGGACGTGCCTGTCTACATCTTGCACATTAGGAGTTTGGATTACAGGGCACTGTGTTGGTTTTTTTCAAGATCACTGAATAAAACTGAAAGCAAAGCAAAAAAAATCAGGGAAGAAGTATGTATTGAACTTAAATGAGAAAGAAAAAAAAAAGAAACGTTCTTTCCTATCATAGTAGAAATGAGAAAATTCAAGCATAAATTTACTGGGTAGATATAAATAAAAGTTTTTTGGGTTTTTTGTGTTTTGCTTTTTTAAATTAAAGCATAAATTGATGAAAAATAATTAGATGCCTAAGAGCATCCTGGGTCATGGCTTGTGCTTCTGCCAGCAGCCAGCTCAGTTATCCCAGTTACCCAAGTTATCCAAGTTATCTAAGTTATCCAAGGTCTACATCCTGCACTGATAAAAAAGCTGTGTAATGTTGGTCTGCATTGCATGATGCCCTGAATTTTTAATATTTTGAAAGCTTTTGTTTGTTTGTTTGTTTTTTCTTTACTAGAGGTTAGTCTGTTCTGATAATTTAAGTGTAGGTAGCAAACAGCAAAATGCTATTTTTAACTTTCTGCAAGGGTTTTGTAGGCATTTCAGAACAGGCTTAATGGAAAGACAAACACTTTGTATCTAACCAAGAGAAGTATTTTGCTATTATGAATTTTAGACAGAGGTAACTACAGGTTTTATACAGAGAAGCCAGGCAGTGTGGAAATATTTCTTATTTATTCACAGATTAATTAATGCAAACAACTATTCTGACATTAAGCAGCTTTCCATTTTACTGAATCTCCCCAAAATGGTGCCTGTATCAGGTGCAGATGTGCCCTCCTCACAGACATAGCCTATCTGATAGAAAAAGCCTGTTAACTCTTATTTTTGCTTTGTATGATGATATTCCATGGAAATGTATTAAAGCTATTTTTACAGCTGACACTTCAGCATTCTAGAAACAAAATCAAAGCAGGTGATGATTCTTGGTGAGTTGGTGTTGGTGAATTTTAATAATTTATTTTTTTTTTAGTGAAGGAGTTTAGGATCATGTCACTCATGGACAGGCAGGAATCAGGGCACTACTGAGTCTGCTGTTTATGAGTAGCTTGGTGTGGTATGAAGTAAAAATTGCTATGGTATATTAAAAATAAATAAATTATACTATGGTACAAAATAAATTATATTATGGTACAAAATAAATAAATTATACTATGGTACGAAATAAAAAATTAGCAACAAGATTATATATTTAAAAAAAAAAAAAAAAAAAGTTGTTTAAGAAGAGTTTTTGAAAAAAAAAAAGTAAAATGTCTGAGAAGAAAAACTTCTGTGTTGGTGTGGGAAGGTGGTGTTGGGGGTGTTTTTGCAGGCAGTGGGGAGAGTTAATCCTGCTGGGAACACCCAGGGTCCTGTGCCCTGGTTTGAGCTCAGGTGGGATGTGCTCAGGTGGGATGTGCTCAGGTGGGATGTGCTCAGGTGGGATGTGCTCAGGTGGGATGTGCTCAGGTGGGCATCCAGAGCCATGGACCAGGGTTCTGGAGCTGTGTTGGACCCCCTGCCCAGGGCAAGGGGAAGGACCCACCTCCAGGGTGTCCTGAGGGTCCCTTTGTTCTAGCATCTCCTGGACTCCAGGGCATTGGCAGTGTTGGGGTTGGAGAAGGAGGCTGGTGGCAAATGTGGATCTTGGAAGGTTTGTGATTACAGGTTCAGACTCAGGTTTAAGTGGAGGTGGTTGGAGCTGACTCTCAAAATGCACTTTGGAAGCAAAGTTTTTGAAGAATCCCTTGCACAGGGTGATCCTTGCTCTACCCACAGGTGGTGTCCCAAGCCAGGAACCAACCAGGGAAGCTTTCTGCACTAATACCATTTTCCACAACGTAGATGATTTAAAAAAAACAACCCCAAAACCCTCCTTTAGGTCTTGGTGTGTTTGGTTTCAAATAAACCGTTGGAAGAAGGAAAAGTTGTCTTATTAGGGCATGTGCTGAAACTCCTGTGTGGTTTTCTTCCAGTGTCCCCTGGCTAAAATGTTCATGTTTTTAGACTGGATATGTACAATTTTGCTACAAAATAAAACAACCCAAACAAACCCAGACTTCCTCTAGTCAGTCTCATGTGGTTGTTTAGCCATTTTTTTGCAAAATGTTAGAATCCTGGAGTAGTTGGTGTTGGAAGGGGCCTCTCCAGCTCTGAGGTACCTCCAGGTGGGGATGGTGGGGCTGTCCATGGGACAAGTCCTGCAGCAGCCTCACCCCTAAACTTTGCTGTTAGATGGTCTGTTTTTCCTCCCCTGGCAATTCCATCTGCATGAAAGGATGGGCAGCAGCCTGTCCTGCTGGAGAACAGCTTCAGAGATGTCCCTCATGCCATCCAGGAAAGGTCCAGGTGGGACTTCTCATCCTGAAGACCTCCCTTGGGCTGGGGGAGGGTGGAGAGAACGCTGAGAAAACATGAGTCTGCAGAAATTGGCACGACCTGAAGTACAGGATTGCTGTTCTGCCAAGAGGTAAAGGAATTTAAACCCGCCAAGAATGAATCTTTGGGGCTTCTCATTCATTTTCCAGGCACAGGAGGAGGCCTCTCTTCCTTCTCTTCCACTCCTGATGAGGGTGAGGGGGATGTGCAACTTGTGCCACCATCACTGAGGAATTTGGTCAGTGAGGGAAGATCAGAGAAGCTTCTAAAAGTACCAAGGTGGGTGGGAAGCATCTGATGGAAGACAGAGAGAGCTCAGGTAGTTTGAGTTTGGGCTGGGGTTGTGTTCCCATGCCCTGGAAGCATCCAAGGCAGCCTGGGGTGGGTGGTTCTTCCCAGTCTTGTGCCTGGGAAGAAGGGGGTTGCCCTGCCTTAACCATCCCAGTCTGGATAAAATCCTGGGAGTCAGGAATGTGTGTCCAAACCTGAATGACTCGGAGGAGCAAACCCACAGCCTTGGAGGTGCAATGAACTTTTCCTCCCAAATCAGGCAAGTCTTCTTGCTAATGACTTACAATGTGTGCAAATTTTTTCTGCAGAACATCTGAATTGCAGATTTTTCATCCTGAGCTTAGACACATGAAACTAACCATGGAAACATAATTGTTAAATATTTCTACCAGGCTGTGTAAAAAATAAACCCACACAGCCCTCCCCACACATCTGTGTGCACACACGTGCTTAATCTTTGACTTCTTTTAATAATTGTTTCAATGAAATGGATGATATTTTTAATACTGTGAAGCCCAGGAAAGTTGGTGCAGATGATCCTTGAGGTCCCTCCCACCTGGAATTCTGTGTCTGTTAATATAGGAAAAAAACCCTTGAGCTGTACACATTATGTGCCCTAATTCAGGACAAAAATAAAAATATGGACATTTCTGGATAATTCAGGGTGTACCTGGAATACATCTATACTGTTGGTAAGGTATGGAGGAACTTGAATCCTTCACAAGTCTGACAAACCCCTTTCAAAATGCTGACAGAAAAGAGGTTTGAGAATTCAGGAAGCTGGGACAGCCTGACAGCCTGATGTCACCTGGGGGTGTTATTGCT